AAAGCTAAACCAGACAAATTAGCCTCAACTTACCATGTACGATCACAACGCCGCCACGTCTAAGTTTCTCTCTCTGAGTGGCCAGGGACTCGACCAAAGTGTGTGTGAAGAAAGCACCATATGTTGTGCACTGGTAGAATCCGACAACGCTGTCATCCCCATGGACTTCCTTAAGAGAACGAAGCATTGCATTCTGGTAGCGTGCTGGCAGAAAGAAAATAGCACAGTAAGAGGCCTGCAAAGAACAAAAAAGGCAACAGCAGAGGGCCTCACCAGCAGTCTTCCCCGACCTCTCCTCCTCATCTGCGGCATGGGGCATCGCGAAGCAATTAGAAATCTCCAACGTTCCATCTAAATCCAACCCCAACAACAAGCCGTACGCTCCAGCAGGGGCATCCCGTCCATGCTTGATGATTTTGCTGATAACCTAATCCACCCGGAAAAGTAAAGGACACGTCAGATTTCCATCTCCCACCACAGAAATCCATCGATACGCACCAACCCATCGACCTGAACCCTCGTAATAGGAATTTCCCCCTCCGTATCTATAATCTTTGCCATCGACGCTGGGATGGCTTCGTAGGTTGGTGCGGCTGGGGCAGGGGCCGCTTGGGGCGCAGGGAGTGAAGCAGCTAACGCTGCAGCCATAGTGCTCGCCATTTTGATTAGAGTGGGCTCGGTATGTAGTGTGAAAAGGCGAGCCTTGGTTTTTTTTGGATGGGTACGATGTCTAGAGACAGTTGAGTCTAACGAGTTCGTCTGTGGGCGTCTGTGGATCCTTGTGGGCGTATATTAACATGGTATAGAATGAGCTAAATATTTAGCTCACAAGCCGCGTTGGCCTAATTGGTAGGGCGTCTCTTTCCTATTTAAGCTATAGGAGAAGCTTGCGGGTTCGAGTCCCGTACGTGGTAGTAGTTTTTGTTCTATTTGTGACCTTTTGCGAACAGCCCTCATTCTCTATGACATCACCCATCTTTTATATCTGGAATGGATAGTTCTCACAAAGGCATTTTCTTGTCGTGTCACAATGTATATTTTTCGTATCCACTACTGAAGCTTTCGATTCCCGTTCGTGCCTGTCATTCAGTTTTGTGTCTTGCATAAATAGGAGAACACGCATGCACCAAGCTTTCGGATTTCGAGTCCCATACGCCGTATAATTATTCTGCTTATTAAACTTACGCGCGGTTCGGTCTTTCAGAACAGCCCCCACAGGGACACAGAGGTGTAGTACCTCATCTTTAACGCGATTCATTACAGTAATCCGGGGGTTACGTCCATTCCTTCGTGCAGGGCTTCAATAATTTGAAGAACGTAATGTTTCTTCGCCCGGAATTAAGTAAGTATTCCATCTGCATCTCTAGGCTGCTCACCAAATGAATCAGTCGTCTAACGGCCTAGACTCTACTACGCGAGTCCTAACTCGGGACACTAGTGGTGGTGAAGCCTAGTAGACCTGAAGGTGTTGAATTATCCTTCCAGTTCACCATACGTCTGATACTTGCTCTGCGCACAAGTACACCGGTAACATCCACGGGTCTACGGCCTATTTATCCCTGCTTGTGCATTGACAGGAAGTGCAGGAGTGGCATTGGAAATTTAATTCCTGCCGCGTAGTGAGTAATCCTCACTGTCTTTCTCAATAAGTAGATGCCAGCCAGTCAGTCACAACATTTAATTTAGAAATGTAGGCTTAACAAGAACGGGTGATCTTCCTATCAATGTTGTGTTCCACTGATAGCACCCCGTTCCACCCCGGTCAATCACTCGCTAGTCGCACTTGTAGCGACCTCTAGCGATTGTTGAATATTCCAGGCCCATCTTACCGACATCAGACACCTTAAATAACCTCTAAATCAGGCGAGAGCGTATTCACGTTAGATCCAATTGGTAGTAGGAGTCTATCCAAGCCTGTCCACCACTGATGCAGGACTAACGCCCCTGGTGTGTATCTGGTTCTTGCCAGTGATAAGCCTATTTGAAACTGGCAAGTACACACTTAGCTCGTAATACCCAGTGAGCACTGTGGATGGTAGGGATAACTGCTTAATATGCTTTAGACAGCGATAATTTACTGGCCTTATAACTTGTAATAAAGAAGCAGGATCAAGGGGTGAGTCTGCGATAGCGCTGCCTGACCGCTATTAGACCCTTATCAATGTTTAAGTATATCTGTATTCTACCCATTACGTATGCACTATCCGTTATCGTGTTTAGGTCTTGCCCAATATTAGATATATCCAATCTCAAGTGACAGCGTTATCGCTGCGTATTCACCGAGAAGGTATAAAGGTGTGAGATATAGCATTTAAAAGTAAGAGATCTATATCCTTCGATTCCCCGCGCTGATCTTCGTTTTCGAACGCTTCATGCGACGAAGACATCTCCCGGTAAAGAGGATAGTCTGAGTTCAAGGAGCACAGGAGCGATTTCTGAAGAACAGCGCGAGAGAGTTTAGGAATATACCATAGAAATTGATGCATTCCTTGTTGTTTGTAATGTTACTTATTTGTGTTAAGTGTGGTGTTTGTTAATGGAGAAATTATCAATTATTTATTACGAATATCATAATATATTCAATTATATGCAATATTCTACGCGTGATTTCGTCCATCCAGGGTTCAAACCTGCCATCGAAACCGTCTGTCTCTTCCAAGGACTCACACGACCTGGGGTTCAGTCTTTTCTGCTGTACTTCCGTCCAGTGTAATAGGCTCTACATTATTGGTTTATTTCGCGCCATTTTCTACAGGTAGCAAACGTTAGTGGCGTCAATCAAGTGTCAATAGGGCGTTTGCAAGGCGTCAACACACTTTGCTCCTTATCACTGGTCAGCTTCAACTGTACAGCGCGCTCTAGACGCGCGCCTTTGCTTCATTGCCTTTCTTACTCCCAACAAATTACTTTAGACGACGCACTCCATAAATCTGGTAGTGCCTTTTATCCCCGATACCTCTTCAGGCTCACTCTGAGCGAGAGCTGGAACCATCTAATGCTCCTGATACTCATCTTATCCTTCGACCTGCAAGTGTATAATCTTTGCAAATGGGCTTAGAAGAATCAATCAATCAAAATCTAGAAGGTAAGGATTTATATACACTGCAAACTTATAGGCATACGGTATGGGTAGAATAACCTGGCAATTCTTTGGCGACCTTGTAGCTCTTAAACTTCGAGGGATTTCTAGAGCGACGGAACCTGGGGTGGTTCTATGGTTGCATTTACTGTTCTTAGAGTCGCAGACCTCCTACCGTCACCGTCTCTTCATGGCCACTAATATGACCTTGCGACGCGTGAGCTAGGGAATATCCAGGGTACGTTTCTGTGTCGGGATTATAATTGAAACGTTCACTCACAGTATTCAATACTAGTTTTAGTCCTTGGTTAACCAAGTATGTTGATCGTTCTCCAACTGCGGTTTTACCAAATGCATCAAATCTGAACCAAGCCTTTATGAAGGGCACCAATATCACATCATATTGGACTAAAGCAGGGTCGAACATCCAAAGGTACACATTTACTTACAACGAGAGCTTAACTTTTGGATGAATGCTCCGCTCCAATCCGGTATCATAGCGGTACGGCACCAAAGTGGTTAGTTTCCAGTACTACGCCGAGCCTACATCACTCATACGCCGCCGTACCTGTCCAGTGTTGATGTTGCTGCTTCAACTTTTGGATATAAAAACCATCGCTAGTCTAATATCTGGACACCAACCCTCTTGAATACTGCTTTCCTAGTCTTTATTCTTCTATCACTCGTAACCCCACGAATCAGTATCGATGAGAATATCTTCCAGGTTTGTATTGGCAGCTGTACTGTTCAGTGTTCAGGCTCAGAGCCAATGCTCAGGTTTCCCTCATCAAGCCGTGGTGAGTATACAAAATTCCTTGCTTCCCAAACCCTTCTCTTTATACTTCAATTACAGTTTGTTAAAGTTGCAGGTCTTGCTGTTCTCGGAAATAATGGATCATTCCGCGGCCCTACAACACTGGAGGCATTGAGGAGTTTTCCCAGAGAAAAACACTAGGAAAACCTTAAAAGTGCACCCCATTTCTTCAGTGTTTTCACATGAATGTGTTAAAACCTTAATAAATGTTGGTTTTCTTTTGGTTTTCCTTCAATGCTTGGGAAAACACTGAAGAAATGGGGTTGACTTCTAAGATTTTATTAATATTTTTCTCAGCAGAAAATCCCTCAGTGCTTCCTGTGCAACTTTGTTTAATCCCACGAACACTATGCCATCATTCTTTCAGGTTTGGTATACAAAACTCTTAGACATTTTGGGCTCCAATGTGTCAGTTCGAATTATTGCTGACCATGATGTTGGTGAATTCGCATTTGCACATGAGGTGAGTTATATTTAATTGCCAGAGAAGAATTGTAGTTCAAATTTACTAGGTTCCAATTTACAACCCCATCCAAGATCAAGTTTTCTTTGCGAGTAGCACTGGTGTGAGTTCCAAAATCTCTTCTCCCAGTAGTACCACTATGATCTAGTTTACCCATAGACTACAGGCGTTAATCATCCAGCAAATAACCAAGTGAACATGATAAGTTTGAAGGATGTGAAAGGTTCTGGTCCCCAAAATATCAATTTCACAAAGGTGAGGCTTAGATTTCAAAGTAATCTTGCTTTTTCCTAAGATGAATCTCGCTATTTATAGGTTCCCATAATGCCGGAGCTTCAGATGGTCAACGGAGGCACACCTTTAGGAAGAAACCTCCTTTTTGCCACCAACGGATTTGGTACTAGCCCGTCAAGACTAGAACTTGTTAACCCTCGGCCTCCTTTCAATTCTACTACCATCTTGGATAACTTCCATGGACGTCAGTTCAATTCTATGAACGAGCTCAAAGTGCACCCCACCAGTGGCGCAGTATTTTTCACTGACGCTGAGTATGAATTTCATAGCTAAGCTAGATTGAGAGCAGTGCTGATATTTAGATAGCTATGGGTTGTTCCTTGGGTTTAAGCCTTCTCCAGCGGTATATCATTTTTAAGTATATTTCATTTGCCCGACTCACTGCTCTGTCCAGCTTCCCGATCAGGTGTATCGATTCGATCCCAAAACTGGCGCAGTCCGAGTTGTCGCTGATCAATTCAATCAATGTGATGGCATAGCATTCTCTCCTGACGGAAAGATAGCATATATGTGAGTTGTACTCACTACAGATTTTCATCTATTAGACTTACTCCTTATCGTTCCTCAGTGGGGACTCTGGCGCCATAAGTAATACATGCGATGCCACGCATCCTTCGACCATGTACGTGATTTCTTTTTAATTTTGATGAATTCGTCGATTTAACCCAAGACACCTTGATAGATATGCTTTTGACGTTGATCCTCAATCTCAACAATTCCGCAACCGTAGAGTATTAGCTTATATCGACACCCTTATTCCTGATGGTATCGAGGTCGATAGCAAGGGTAATGTTTATGCTTCGACAGGTGATGGTATCCAGGTAATATTCACTTACACTTTAATGATGGGAAGAATTAAACTTAGGGAATAGATCTATGATTCAACCGGTGTGTTACTCGGCAAAATCTTCACGGGTACTCCAAGTTCGAACCACATTTTCGCAGGAGCAGGAAGACTGGTGGTCCTTGCAGATTTGAAAATCTTCTTGGTAGAATTTGCTGCTGCTCCTTTGATAATCCAACTTCAGGCTTAGGACTGATTTGGGTGGAGACCCAAATATGTGCATGACCTTCATTTCAGAAATAAACAAGGGACACTGGAAGCATTGAGATATTTTCCTCAGATGAAAACATTAGGAAACCTTGAAAGTACACCCCATTTTTTCAGGATTTTCCATAAATTGCAGGAAAATCTTAATAAACTTAGGGTTTTTTGTCAGTGTTTGAGAAAACACTAAGAAAATGGGCTGACCTCTAATGTTTT